ACTTTTGCTTTTCTGTTCCAAAAAAGGATTGCAAATTGTATATAACTGAGGGAGAACACAATTAGAAGTCAATGTATCAGAGCCACTGCAAGTTATTCTTTTATCAGGAACAAAATATCCTTTGCTATCTTTTTTATTATTTTCAACATTAAAGATCACATTTCCTATAAATGAAATTTCCTCTGAATCAGTACTGAGGCAAATTTGTTTATATGTGTCAAATGGATAAAAATTGACTTTCATTTCAGTAGAACCACAGTCTTCACAATTACCATTCCTTGTTTTGTTCATCATTGCTCTGCTACAAGTTCTTATATATTCTGGGACACGTTTGCTTTTGCTTGTTTGTGCTTTGCTATGTGCTCTTGGAATAAAATGAGCAGCTTTAAATTTTTTAACAGGAAAAGCATTGTTTTCCTTGAAGAATTTTCCAGTTCTCTTTTGTATATTTGGTTCCATTGTACTCACCATTGGAAGATTTGATTGTTGAATACTGCACTTCCCAAATTTGAGTGGAGCTGAACTCAAATAGTTAAATAGTCTGAAGTTTGCTGGCAGGTTGTGCACTGTAGGACTACACAACCTTCCCCCCCATAAAGTAGAGCTGTGAAAATCATTCTCTGGGAAAATGTGTTTGTTAGAAATTGTAAGTTGCCTTGCCATTTGTTCTTTTTCAATACCAACTACTGAAAAGCTACCATCTTCTATAGTATTTCTGGAAAGTTCAAAGTGTTCCATGGTACTGGTGCCATTGGAGATTTCCCTTTGTTGGGTATTGAGAAGAAAAAAATGGCTGAATATTGAGGCATTATTTTCAACTGCAGTGCTGCAATCATGTAAAAATAACTCAAAAGCAGTACATTTTACTAATTTGGTAGTTACAACTCCACAGCTTCTTGAATAAGATATATACATGTGCTTATATACTTTGTTCCTTCTTAAGTTAGTCTTTGCCAAGGCATTTGTTTGCTTTTTGTGAAATAAAATATTTTCATCCTCACCCACGACATTTTTATATTCATATAAGAACGATCCAGTGTTTGATTTTCTTCCTTTCATGAAATTGCCAGCTAACAAACGTAGCAGTGGGATTTTGTCACTGATGCTTCTACCATCTGCAACTGGTTTGGGAATATGGTTTTGTTCTCCATGTACATGATGACAACCTGTGCCATTTTCATTAGTTTGAAATGCTGGCACATCTGTAAGTAAATATTCTAGTCTTACAACAATATTTTCTGCCAAGATGTCGTAAGAAACTATATTTACTGATGGTAACTCAATCTCCTTTGAAATGTTGCCACTGTCTATTGATTTTTCTTTTTCTTTAGCAAAAATGGTCCAAGGTTTAGGTTTTGTGACCAATGAATTAATATTTTCATTAAATTCAGAACCAGAATCTTTTAAATTGCTACAGTAATCATTTTCAAGGGCCCATTTTTCTATGAATGGTGTATTTCCTAACAATCTGGAATGCAAATAGGCATTCATACAAAGTCTAAAATGTAGATACTGTCTTAAGCTGGTTTTTGTGCTGTTTTTCTCTTGCAATTCCAAATCGTTTTGACTAAAATCCCAAGATCCTTCAAGAAAACCTAGATGTGTGTCTGGTGATTTCTTATCTGCATAGCATAAACTTTTTAGCAGCTGCCTCTGCTCATTTGAGCTCACTTGACTATCTGTTTTGAGTTTCTTTGGCCATGGTTCTTCCATCTCTTCTGATATGGATAGAAGTGTTTGTAAACTTTCCATGTTCAGTTCTGAGTAACAAAACTTGATGAGACCTGTTCTGAAATTTAAACCAACTTATAATTAAATTTATGCAAACTATTTGTGTATTTTAAGCATTAGCAACATACATTTAACAAAATGCATTTTGAGTAACATGGTGCTCTCTTATTCATGTTTATCATTTTTCCGTATGAGACAATAGCAATGACATCATTTTCATTTGATCTTCAGTTACCATAGGAGTGTGCTAAAAGATGAAAAATATAATTACAGAGCTTTTAAAGAAAAGTACTAAACATAGTTACTTGGAATAAGAGGCCACACATTTAAAGTAAACTTATTTCCCCATAAATTTGCTTAGGGTCACAGCACTAGGCATGATTCATTTCTTGAAAAAAGAAAAAAAGCAATGATCAGTATTTCAGTCATTCAGCATGGTAGGCTTTACTTCTATGTTTACTTTTTTACATTTTAAAAACAGAAATATACAGTAGTTCCAGTGTTTTTTTTTAGGGGGGCACTAAAGGATATGCAGTAACAGCACATCTTTTTTGATGTTAAAAAGTGTGGCCCTTACTGTAACAACTTCATGGTGAGTATTGGCGGCTATTTTTCTCGGAAAAAAGCCCTGAGTGGTTCCACCACTATTCATGAAAATCTTAATTTAAGTTTGGAGTGCGGGATATCCCAAAGTACTCTCTAATGTGGAGAAAGCCATAGTTTTTTGGCAATAAACAGAGGACACAGTCACAAATAAAACGTTTTATATGTGTTGTAAAGTGCAACATACAAATGTGACAGTAGGTGGCGTGAGTGAGCTACGCAAAATTCAATGTGTTTTTCAAAACTTCTTTTTATTTTAAGCATTTCCACGGCGTTTTTTATATGCGTGTGGATTCCACCAGAGAAGGCCACACATAGTTCCCATATTGCAATAAAAAGAGAGAGTCTTCCTATTACTGATCGGTATAGCTACTATAGTAACATGGAGTGGGCTAGAACTGCATACCCCATGTAGATGGTAGTTAATAGCTCTTGGTCAGTGTGGGTTGAGAACATCACCAGCACACAATGGGCACTGTTAACTACTTTCTGAAAACAGCCCCAAGTATATTTGCTTAATTCAAATGGACCCTCTGGCTGATAGCGCTTTTAGCCATTCCCTGCATACTCCATCATGTGTCCCTACTTAACATAACCTGAAAGCGTGCTTCTTCCCATGCTAATCTAACCCACATTTTGAGACCAACAGAAGTTTCAGATACCTTCAGAAAGTCCTATTTCAGATACTTCCTCTATCAGAGGTGTAGTACTCAGCAATGGAAGAGAGGACTTTTTAGCTGGCTTTGGAACATCCTAGAGTAGCTTTCGTGGCACTGATGTTGAAGAATAGTATAAAAATGTTTTAAATACGTAACCTGTCACACAAATCAAGAGTTCAGGAATAACGGCGCTATTTCTCTTCAGTCACTACAAACTTCTGATCCTTCCTCTCTGCAGTTTTGTTTTGCTTTTAAAAAAGAGACATTAAAAAACATTTAATTGCATTGACTGGCTGAGGCATGCATTCTACAACGAAATAAAATGTCCTTGTACTGTAATAACATCAAGCAAGACATACTAAAACCATACTGGGTTGGATTCAGAGTGTGTTGCATTTAGTTCTTGTTCAATTCAATTGGGCAAGTTAGCTGTGACTAATTTTTCACATCGATTGCAATGGCACATAGGCGCAACTGATCTGAAGCACAATCTTATGTGTGTTAATGGAAGTAAGCTTCATTTTCTTTTAATGGGGCTTACTCCCTAGTAAGTGTATTTAGGACTACTGCCTCAATCCTGACCTAGCTCATTGGTTATAAATGAATTTAATTAATTAATTAAGCATTAATATTCAGATAGCATTTTAAGAAGCGGTTTCTGTGAAATTATTTGACCCTGAATTCTGGTTCTTCTGATAACATTTGAAAAGTAAACTGCTTGTCTGAAAACGAAATGTAACGTTGTTGCACCACTATTTTTCTACTAAAAAAAATAATCTCAACAACATTTAGGGTGCCCTGGTTTTTACTTTTTGAAATACGGCAACTCTAGAACATCCACATTGTTATGTTACTGTGCTGAGGTAAAAAAAATAAGAAAGGAACAAGGAGGAGGGAATTCCACCATGGGGCATTCATTGTAACACCTTCACTGTTCTCTGGGCTTCCACAGATTCTTGTTGTTAGCAAATGCTACTTGTTGCAAAGGGTGGCCATATTTCAAAAAGTAAAATTCCTAACACCCGCAAAGTTCTTGAGCTTCATTTTTTAATTATTTTTTTTAGGAAGGCCGCAAAACGTCTGGGTTTCCCTGACATTTTGCTGGTTTGGCAACCCCCCCCCCCCGACACCATTTTTACGCCCGAAAACCAGGACATGGCAGGAATTTTCCTGACGTATGGCAAGCCTCTTGTTGCAGGATCTGGGGCAATTTAAACTAGCTGTCTCCTCAGCCAGCTCCTTCTCCGCCTCAGAGCTGAGGAATTCAGCTTCACCATGTACTACGTCTATAAGGGCAATGGTGCAGCCTCTGAAGCAAGAAGAACAGACCATGAATGAAACTCAACCCCCCTCAAAAAACCCCAAACTCAGTGGACAGATTCTGAGGAGGAACCTGCAAAAAATAACCTTTTCAGGCATCATAGCAATTTATTGTGATCACTTCTTGGTAGATGAGGCTAAGAGATTTGGAGCATGGTTTCCCCCCCCCCCCTAATTGTGACAGTTCCTGAGTAATATAAAAAATAAGTAAATTCCTGAGTAATATAAATGTACCATGAAGATGCCCCCCCCCATTAGTTTGTGGACTAATCTTTTTTTCATCTAATGTGATTCTTTTTGCATATTTGTGTGCGTAGAAACTGAGATTGCATTACTTTGCAACTAAAGTATCCCTTCCCTTTTTATACACAAAAGTCTACATGCCAATGGTTCAAAATTGAGGTGCTATTATAATGTCGAGTTTGCTTGGTTATTTATATAGTCTCTGAGAGCATACTTATACAAACAGAGTTGGTTAGAGATAAATATCTAGAAGTGCACAGGTAATCCTGGTGTTGCGGCGTACAGGAATTGTGACTTTTAGAAACCATGTGTACTCTGAGGCGGCGGTGCCCTTTCTGGACATAGACAGACTTTACGCCGGTCTTACAAAAAAACTTCCAACTTTTATGTTCCTTCAGACCCTTGACCCCCGTCCTCCCCAAGACTGGAAGTCATGACCTTTCATAGAAAACAATAGCCAGAAATGCAAGATGGCACCGCTAGCTGTGGTCGAGCAACACCTCGCCCACCTGAGGGGGGGGGTCAGCAAAAAGAGGGATTTTATTACTTCTAAGTGGAAGCCAAAATAAAAAAGGGGGTGCATAAAAGCACCCTGAAGATCCGTCTCCAAGCAATGACTGCTCGGATTATTATTTCTCTGTGTTTCTACTGCCTCCAGCATGAGGACTCATTTTGGCGGGAAAATGTTGTGAGGCGTTTGGTGAACCAGGAGGAGGGACAGAAAATGGGGACTTCGCCCTAAGCTGCAATCCTGTACACAGTTACATGGGAGTTAATCCTATTTAACTCAGTGGGGCTCAAATTCAGATTAATGTGAAACGAAGGCTCTTGTCCCCCTGCCCTTCTGTTCGGAAAAAAATTAAGCGCAAGCACCATCATGGGGTGTGTGTGTGGAGGGTAATCTTCCCTCTTTCCTTACAAAGAGAAAAGTTGTGACAATTAAGCACCTGGTTTCTATGTAGTTGTTTTTAAACACACATTTTATTTTTCTATTACGAACCCCCCCCCCAAATCATAAAACCTGACAGGAATGACAAAAAAAGTTGGTATTCCCCCCCCCCAATAGTGACCCATTTTTCCTTCATGTTTTTAGCGTCTTTTACTTGGGAGTAATTCTCAGTGGGACTTCCCCCCCCAAAAAGTGGGTAGAAGATGGCCGTTGTAGTTGAGGAGTTTCTCCTCCAATATTTCCTGCCTGGAAGAATCAACTTGAAAGAAAAGCAGGCCTTTCGCTTTCCTTCCATCTTCTCTGTCAGAAGATTTGTTGAAGGGAATCATGGCTTAGGCTGCAAGCCTGTGTCCACTTACTTGAGAGCAAACCACATTGGACCTCTGTGGGACTTACACCTGAGTAAACATTTATAGGATGGGGCTGACTGGGGATTTTGACCATGTTACTATTGCTCACAGTTCCAAAATATAAAGCTTCCATGTTCTATTTTTCTGTGCCCGTTTTATTTATCTTTCTACTTTTGTGCTTCATGTCACATTTTGAAAAGGGGGTGGGGGTGGAGCAGAGAGAACATGTTCATTTCTTTAAATTTAGTTTGGGACTCCCAAATCCCGAATTCAGCTGGTCCAGTATGTAATGTTTATTCACTTAAAACCAAAGATCATTGCATTAATCCTGAACAAATGGCATTCTGCTAAAATAAGTGCCCTCTGAATTTCATTAACAGTAAAAGCCGTATCTAGCGCATGCCTGATCCTTTAGCAGCTCTCAGCAAAATGCTGTCTGTTTGGATCTGTTTGTGGCCGCATTTTTAATTTATAATGTATTAATAATGAATACATGGGGTGTTTTTTCCCATATAATACAATTCTGCATTTTGCTATTACCAAAGGTATTGTACAAAGCAAGTGGTTAAGGCGTATGTCCTTAGAAACAGCTTAGTATCCAGTCGCAGATCCCCTAAAGGCTTTTTGCTGACCTAAGTGAATTAAAGAGGCTGTACCGCTAAATATGTGTGCTAAATATGTATAATGTACAGATCGGAAGCTGTGGTATCCTGGAAATGATGGGCTTAATTTTCAGATCTCATGGCCAATAGTCATGGTCAGGGATGGTAGAAATTGGGAGTCCAACATTTGGTGGGTCATATTAGACAGGACAGGATAGAAATATTTTAACAAATTATACAGGGCAGGATAGAAATATTTTAATAAATTAATAAAGCTTGGTCAAGGAATACCCACAAGCTGCATACATGCCGTTCCCATCAACAGCACTCTA